ACTATTCAATCATCTCTCTATATCTAACCCTCTATTTATCTGTCTATCCATCCAATCCCAATGTATCTCTCCATCTCCTTCCTTCAGTAACTATCCAACCATCTCTCTATATCTAACCCTCTTTTTATCAGTGTGTCTATCCGTCCAATCCCAATATACTTCTCCATCCCCTTCCTTCCGTAACTATCAAACCATCTCTCTATAGCTAACCCTCTAATTATCTGTCTATCAGTCCAATTCCAACTATTCAATCATTTCTCTATAACTAACCCTCTATCAGTGTGTCTATCCGTCCAATCCCAATATACCTCTCCATCCTTCCGTAACTATCCAACCATCTCTCTATATCTAACCCTCTATTTATCTGTCTATCCGTTCAATCCCAATATACCTCACCATCTCCTTCCTTCCGTAACTATCCAACCATCTCTCTATATCTAACCCTCTATTTATCTGTCTATCCGTTCAATCCCAATGTATCTCTCCATCTCCTTCCTTCCGTAACTATCTAACCCTCTATCTATCCGTCTGTCTATGCATCCAATCCAACATGTCTCGCCATCTCCTTTCTTACTTCCGTAGCTATCCAACACACTCACTTCATCTTTTAGATCTATCCTGCTCCTCCTATTAATAACTCTGTATCTACCCAAGCATCTCTCACTCTTTTTCCGTCTACTCCCCCCTGTCTGAATTTAAATTGTTTAAATTGTTTTATAAACTAGGCTTATTCCACCATGAGACATAAAATAGTTTCCTAGATTCTCACTTTGTGTGTATCCACAATTACTCGAGTAATGACAAATCACAGAGAGGAGGTCAAACTTTAACCAGGAATATGTGACCTTTAGCCTGCCTCATGTCCCAAGCCTTTTCAGACTATTTACATCTGTGTGAGTGTCTCCTGAGGTCACTCCATTCCACTGGATGTTCCCTAAACTATTGGCAGTCTTCCAGTGTACCGGAACCCACACCCTTTATATCAAAAATAAATGAAGCTCTAGGAATTCATCCCAGATCACTGTGTTCGAGCAGCCAATGCAATATACCTAACAAACCATTCCCTTGGGATTCAGGTTGAATTCATGAGATTGAGTTTAACTGTCTAAATGTTAATCTCCTGTAGGAAATAATTTGTGGCCCAGAGAGCTGGGAGTTGATTTCAGGATTGCATATAAAGATAACTAGCAACTCGGGCTTGCAGGACTTCTCGCGGACGGCTCCCTTCCTATGGAATAGCCTGCCTACCCCCATCAGACTCTTCCCTAGTCTTCAATCATTTAAGAAGTGCCTTAAAACCCATTTCTCTAGGAAAGCCTAAGGCCTCCCAGACTAACCTCTACCTTACATACATGTCTCTTGCTCTCTCCTAAAGGGCAGCACTCTACTCTCTTCTTCAGCTCTGCTTCACTCCCACCCTATTTGATTGCAGTTTCCTGTCCTATTGTGTTTTACACCTCACCTCCTATAGACTGTAAGCTCGTTTGAGCAGGGTCTTCCTCAACCTATCGTTCCTGTAAGTTTTCTTGTAATTGTCCTATTTATAGTTAAATCCCCACTCTCATAATATTGTAAAGTGCTATGGAATCTGTTGGAGCTATATAAATGGCAATAATAATAATAATAATAATAACTAGCAGCTCAGAGTTTGCTCACTTTATCCTCCTAAAATCAGTTTGCTCCTGCTGAGTGTTCCCGGAAGAAGTTAATAATTGGTGATCATTTTCTGGACTCGGTGACAGTGACAGAGCAGTGTCTGTTGGGGAAGTAGATACAGTAGCAGAGGGTTATTCCTGGCATGCACTGAAACCATCAGGGAGATAAGGGCAGGTCAGGGTTAGAATATTAACAGCACAGTAAATAATGGGAGATGGGACGGTGTGGCTCCACCTGGCAGAAGGCAATAAACTCTGAGACTGGAAGCATCCCTGATCACACACCTGGCACAGGATACACAGCGAGGGAGGAAGCAGGAGACTCAACGTGACATTGCAGAGTATGAGAGGAATTACAGTCTGAATAGTATCCGTGTAATTCATGGAGATGGAGGGAGAGGAGCTCGGGAGAAAAAAGCACTAAGGATGGGATCATTGTTCAATATACTGTGAAAACTATTTCCATGTTAAATACAAAGAGGCAGGTCCTACATAAAACATAAACGCAGGGCTATTAAAGTGAAAATTGTGAAGATTGCGTAGGGAAACCCAAATTTTAGGCCTATAAAGCCAACTTACAAATAAATCCCCAACTCTGCTACCTAAAATGTGCAATCCCTGTATCAATTCTCCACAACCCCCACTTTAGTGAATGAATTAAACACAGAGGGGCGTCACAGTATTTTGAATGGGATCTGGCTGTTTGGGGAAGGACAATAGGGAGAGAATTTCAATAGCAGAAGGAGCAGGATTAGTGGCCTTTTCTCAAACAGCTGTACAAGGACCCCTTGAGGGCCATTAACCCCATGGGGTACTTCAGGAGCAGTTTGAACGATACTTGATGGGATTTGATGAAAGAAAGGCTGAATAAGCTTTAATAGAAGCAGCATTTTTAGAAAGAGGCTGAAAAGCCCCGCTGTTAATGAAGAGGGGCAGCTCAGAAAGCCTGAGGTTTGGGGAGAGCTCAGTAATGTCCTTACTCTGCGTATGTGCTGTCGTTCATGCTGGAGAAGAAGAAACAAAAAACACATGACACATGCAGCAACAAGGTAACAACCAGAACACAATGCAAGGATGAGAGACACACATTATCAGTAAGACATAGCAAAACATTGTATACAATGTGCAGAGCAACTGCCTTCCCAGAATTCCACTCTCACTCCTGAACCCCATACAGCACAATGGGAGCAGAGCACCACGAGGGTCGCTGTCTGACAGGTACTTTATAGAGCTGCAGGGCCATTAGGGACAGCCACGGTGTGTCTAAAGGGGACGTGACATTTATTTGTTTCTTTTTGTATTAACAGAAAACATGTATTGTTTGCATAATCAGATTATTTCAATTCAGATATCCAACTGTCACCTTAACACAACTCACTTTAGAGAAATAAATCTGTTTTGGTAAAGAGTGAGAAGGTTTCGGGTATCTATTACAACTCTTAGAATAAAACAGGTGGTTGGTTGTTTGAGTGACGACATAACTGCGCTGTATTCATTAGATTGAAAACTTATTACAGCCCTTTCTAGAGTGATGTCATTTTAGATTTTACTTCAAGGATTAAGTGAGACTTCATAACAAAAACAGAGAGTGCTCTGAGGCAAAAACGGACAAAAGATTTGCAAAACTCCTTCGCTTTCCCTTCAGTTAGTCCCCACTCAGGTTTCAAACTGGTGCCATTACAGAGTCAACCTATACCATTTACATATCAGACTGATCCCACCTACGAGCACAGACCAGAACCAAAATGACGACAAGTTATCTCTACACGAGAGTTACAACAACCTCAGACCATCGTTTCGACCTTCTTTGGGCCTCACCAGTGAGGTGTAGCTGATACCCCTCTAGGCACAGAGAGTGACACTTCGGGTTAGATAAATAATCCAGTTTAGTTGAGGGAGTGTCTGCATTCAAGATGCTGAAGGGGGGTCCAGCTGAGAAAAATGGGAGTTTTAGTCCTCAACATCACTAGTATCTATTACAATTAAAGAGAAGGATCTAGGCAGCGTTTTGGATTCCAGATGTGGACTACACTTCCAATAATGCTCCTGGAGTCATAATACTGATAATCAGGGGAGATGTAGTTCACAATATCAGGAGTGCTGAATGCTGCGTACCCCTAATTTACCATTGTTACCTGTGCTATAATGAGGGCAGAAAATATATTACATGGCTAAAATCTCCCATTTCTAGCTCACTGTATTAACAAGAATTTTCCAGGTCTTTAATTCTGCCTCAACCTACAGGATTTGCCATGTCTTAATGGAAACACCTTTCAATAGGGATGGGCAGTACCTGAAAAGTGCTGACCTGCACCTTGTGGAATTTACAGATCAATCAATGCAGTGTTATGGAGAGTTTTCTATATTGATCTGCAAGTAGCTTTGTGTAACTGGTCTTCGTTATTGCTTGGCATTCACAAACCATTCATTTTAGTAAATCAAGCATGTCAAACTCGCGGCCCACAATGAATATATTTGCGGCCCGCAAGCTGCGAGTTTGTCATGATTACCAAGTACATTGCAGGTGCCTACTCTGCTCAAATTAATCTGGCTGGGGAAGAGCGGTCACTCTTCCTGCTCCTCACTGCTCCCTCGGCGAGGGAGGAGCATGGGCGGAGCTTGACCCAGTGCCGAGAGACATCGGCACTGCATTCAGGTAAGTGACTAAAGGTTTTTTAACCACTTTAGCGCAGTGGAAAGGGTGTGACGGGGGCCACCTTAGAAATCTATAGTGCCAAGAAAATGGCTTTGTTTTACTGCAACTATATGATCCCTTTAAATACACATTTCATGAGTATTATTGTTGTGGAGCTCTGTTATACACTCAGACACATTACTGGTAGTATTATTACTGTGGGGCTCTGTTACACACTCAGATACATTACTGGGTGTATTATTGATGTGGAGCTCTGTTATACACTCAGACACATTACTGGGAGTATTATTGTAGTGGAGCTCTGTGATACACTCAGACACATTACTGGGAGTATTATTGCTGTGGAGCTCTGGAATACATTCAGACACACCAACAAAAAGAGGGACATTAGTATAGAAAAGAGAGACTGTCCCTCCTAAAAAGGGACACGTGGGAGTTAAATTCCAGGGACAAGGAGGGGAGTGCTGGTCACACTTTTCAGGACTGTGCACACACACACAGTGTGTTTATTTAGTTTTGGGAGCTGGTGTTGGGTTGATAGTTTTCAAAGATCATTGCTAGAAAAGTTTGCTGATTGCAGAGTAAATGGGTAAAACCAAGGGACCCACATGACTGTCCGTCAGGTCATCCTGGACACGTTTTCTAAATGCTGATGGACAGAATAAAAAACGCTTTTTCCAGGTTTCTGTATTACAATAGGACTGAATACCATTCACTGATCAAGGCAGGTGCTATGGGGTGTCTACTCCTTCCAGTACCTTATGAATCTGTCAAACTGCAAGGCAGAACTTTTCATGAACTGCCCATCAGCAAACAGAATACCTGCCCATGAAAATATGACGGATCTGGCGGTGATACAAGGAGTTACACTTACTAAATGAGCTGGCACAGGCGGTAAGAGTGAACATTAGTTTGCCCCGGTCAGATCTCCCAATTCTTCATTTGACAGTGGCAAGAAACCCCAGATTGCCTCTGGCAGAAAACAACCACTTAAATCTTCATAAAACGAAAAAATCATTATTTAGTGACTGAAACAAAGGAATGATGAAAATCACTGCTCGTCTGGTTTCTCTGCACCTTATTTCAAGACACGGCTATTTTATGAGCAGAGATAAGTCACTGGCTCTTCTTTATGTTTATAAAAAATAAACACTGTAGGGGTGTAAATCTAGCCGTCATCGCCCCAACCCAGATCTCTATATATGTTATGTTTTCGTTCCTGAAACTGATCATACTCGCTGCTCTCTGCATCAATAAAAACTCATGTTTATGTCCAGATAAGCTGCAAGGAATGTGGCTGACAAAGTTTAAATAAACCCCAGCACCTTGATAGCTCCTTGTACTGAATGAGTCACTGCCATACGTAGCATAGTGTTACAGTGTGCATCTTGTGACAAGTTACCGGTGCAGAAGCCAAGAGCAGACTATTGAATTACACGGTCACGGCCCTCAACAACCGTTTGGCTGGGGACATGCTAGCTGTGAATTGTGGGAGTGGAAGTTAACCTGCAGCGGTCATCATACAATACCTTGTTTACACAATGATTTCAGGATTACACTGTAATATAAAAAAAAATGTAAAAATACTAAAGGTTTTATTTATCTACTTGTGTAAATAGCAATCAGACACCCACACATTGCTATATCAGTCAGGTCTGAGTCAAACACCCTGTTTGTTGGAACAGATCACAGAGAAAGTGGGACAATCAGATTAAATATAATTATCGAGGTGGTGCCAGTCAATTTTAGCTGGAGTAATGCCTCACCTACACCCTCTCGTGGCAGAAGGTGTAGCGAATCGTTAAATGGTATGGAACAAAGCCAAAAAGAAAATAGGAGACAAAAAGGAAGAATTAACAGGATAAAAGAAAAAAACTGATTCAAACACAAAAACCCAGGTTTCCGTGGCCGAGCAAGATACTGCCAACAACCAAAAATACTGCCCCGATTATCCCACAAGGTGTGTGGATATCAAAATCTGCTTGTGGAGCGCGGTAACATTTAACCTGTTCATCACTTGCTCAGGGGTTCAAAACAGAACAGGATTTTGGGCCCCTTATTAAGGGGTTAAAGTTTATAATACTGAATTACAGCGACCTGGAAACCATAGCAATAATGATGCCAAAAGAGCCAATTTATAAAAATAAGTACATTTTTAAAAATTCCGGTTCAGTGTGTGTAGCAATGCTCTCAGACAATGCAATGTCTAGCAAACCGAACCACATTTTGCTGCAAGGACTGTATCCATAATGAATACCTCTCTGTGCCCATGGCAGTGACAAAGGTTAAAACTATCGTCAGCAGCTAAACAAATCCCTTCATTTTTAGCAATTTACTAAAAGAAGGACACCAAGCCACATAACCGCTTATTTTACTATTACTAATTATTGTAGTGGTTATGGTACTATCAGGTAATAGGCGTTTTCTCTGCTCTACATTACATGCAAACTAACAACCAACCAAGAAAATGCAATACCGATGGTCCAAGCTGGAATATGACACAAAAAAGACCCTCCCAAGTGTTCCCATCAACGAGGGACAGCAATGAATTTGAGTGTTTTGACAGAGCTCCAGAGCAATAAAACTGTGACATGTCTCAACTACAATAAATGTATTTAGAAATCAGTCTGTGTAACCCAAATACATTTGATCTTATTCTAAATTACATTTTCAAGTCCAGAAATGGTTCTCAGTTGGTCAGACAATAACGCCCTAGAATAGCCCTGTCCTTGGAGCCCTGTGAGAGGCACACAGCATTATTCTACTGCTCAATATGGTTAGAAATACTGTAGCTACTTATGGCATTGGTTGGATTGATCACTCAGAGTAATAGAATGTATATCATGATCTGAAAACTCCAGTAGCGTTACACCAACCCTGCCATGATTGTGAGGCAGCCAAGCATCATGGGAGATATAGTGTACAGTAGTACAGGTGCCAGATTATTGCCCATCCCTGACCTTAATCTGCGCATGTCTATGATGGGGACAGTTTTGGACAAGGTAATTATCATTAAATAGCATCAGTTAACAGTAACTGGAAATCCTAGTTTCTGTCTTTGGAAGAAGTTTAAGGAGCTCTAATGCAGCTCAGTCTGTGACTAGACAGCCACAGAAAATCTGTACCGGGAAAAAGAGGGAGGGCTTTTAATAGCTGCAGATACTAGATCTGCAGCCATTGCAAATCCAGATTCCAAGAACCTATTTAGGGTTTATAAGTGTGTAGGGCTTCTGTCTGAGTAAAGATGTTTGCCTTTTAGCTGAAAGCTGCAATGTGAACGTTTAGAACTCTGCCTTGACTTGGCAGGTGAGCTCACACTTTAGTGGCCACTGGAGTGATACTAGAAGCATCCAGGTATTTACATTTGCATTGGGATTTGGGATGGTTCACGACTTTGTTTGTTTTTTGTTCATTATCCTCCAAAGAAAACATGCAAGTAATTCCATTCATGTTTTCTCTGGAGCTATATTTACTTAACTGTTAATTCGTTTTAGCGTGTTCCTTCAAACCAATATGATCTATATCTATGATGGACTGCCTCTACCATGACGCTCAGCCTGATAAGTGTGGGTATGAGACTCACAGGGAACATAGGGCTTTATTCCTTAAACAATGCTTTGTGATTAACTGAAATACCAACATAGGCCTCTATTTAATAAGCTTTCCAGATGACTCAATACTGTTCGAAACCTTTCGCATGATTTACCTGCAGATGTCACTACGGGAATGTTTGTGGATAAATCATCAGGACTAACAGCATTAAGTCATTTGGAAAGCTGATTAAATTGGAGGTAAGTTTCCCATTATTGCGATTTTACCTAAAATTTGCAATTTGGTTTTTAGTTTACCAGAAATAACAATTTGTAAATATAAACCCTTTAGTCTCCAAAACAAAGTGTCAAAAATAAAAAAGTGTGAATTTGGATACATTTAAAGTAAATTTCACATTTTAAACCAAAGTAGTCACGTTAAAATAATACTTGAGTCAATTATTTGGGTTCTGCTATTTCACCCTATATTTTGACAATTAACCATTTAGTGAATAAGCCTACTAAATCTAATTGTGAATTTAGCACAGTGAGTGCAGAAGGTAAAGCTATCTCTGGATATAAGGATTTTTTTTCTGACATTACTCCCATTGAGCTGTAGGGGGCGGCATGTACCTGTCGTTTGCAGACAATTACACTGAATGCATGCAGTAACGCAAACACATCAAGGCAACTTGACATGCACATACAGGACAGGTACCAGCAAGATGGGTCTACTCACATTGTACCAGCTCTGGCTTTTCTGTAAAGAGGAAAAAAAAAAAAAAAAAGAGGCATTAAATTTCAGAAAATGACTCCAATTACCAGTGAATGAAACACTACACAGTGGAGGAGCTTGCACTGGGACCAAAGGGAGCCTCGGGGGTGTCTACGAAAGCATAGTCATTGATAGCACACAGATAATATTAAGGAATACATTGTATATTCTCAGGAGTGAGAATTGTCCAAACTGGGGCGAAAAGCTCCAATTAGAACAATAGAACTACAAACAATACTGCAGACGTTCCCCCTAAGCATCGTTCTGTAACTGACACAGCCAGTAATAGGTTAAGACAGAATGTTTATTTTTATTTTTTTAATTAATAAATGCATTATGGATACCTCCAGCTCCTATGCAAATTGATAGATATAAAGATTTATATATTAACCGTCAATACTGCTTACGTAGGACACTGTATGGCCTGACCTCCAATCAGAGAGGTTTTAAAATGATGTCCCAATTTGGACACTTTATCACTTACCCAGATTTACTAATATACTTGGAATCTGGCAAAATTACACATGTTCTTTTACACACAGGTGAAGATTATGGGTGGTTACTGACTTAGGAGACTTTTAAGGAAAAATGCAATCAGAAGTGGATCCCCTGAAATACATGCACCACACTTTAGGCGTGCTAGCATCGAAACAATGACAACGCCACAGGAAAAGCTGGTAAACACCTCTCATTAGGAAAAGACCACGCCAGAGTCGTAGCAAATGCAGAGGGAATCAAAGAATCATCAAGGAGGAGGTTATCTGTCCTGCAGAGCTCACAATCTAACAAACATACCAAAAAAAAATGATGGTTCAGTTCAAAGGAAACAGACGCTAAAAAGATACTGTCTGTTTCTTGCTGTTTTTATGCTTTTTTTCTTCCGTCTTGCCTTCAGCAAGTCAACATATTTTAGAAGGGATTTAAGTCAGTTGACAAACTTGGAAAGTGAAGAACATTTCTGTTTTTTTTTTAACCTATCATTTTGGTTAATGTTTTTTTTCCAATTTTGGCCTTGATTTATTGTTAGATAAGATTTACAAATGATTTCATATTTTTGAATTAACTTTTAAAATAATTTACTATTATGAAAATAATTGTAATCTTATAATACTTTGCTACATTTATACTTTTTCTATAGGATATATTTAAAAAAAAAATGTAATATGGTGAAAAAAATATTTTAAAAATGTATCCAAAAATAAATCATTTCAAAAGCTTATCCGACAACATTAACTTAAGGCCTATCTAAGGTGTGAGAAATACCCGATAGTCTAAAGAACCGTACTTGGCAGAATATTGTGCGATCATGTTGCAACTCCACCTACATCGCATGGCTGGGACAGCATTACTTTCACCCATGCCCACCAAAAACCCAGATACCCACGTCAGCTCACACCGAATGGTCAGCGTTCAACCGATTAGAATCTGTGTTCTAAGTCCCTATAGCATCCGTCTCTATATATAATTTTTATTATGAACATAAAACATTACAGTCTGTAGCCTTTGTGGGTATTATTTTAAATATTTCAAGTTTCACAGAATGTAATAGTTTTATTTAAAACACCTCACAAGGCAAAAAATAGAGGGGGTTCATTTATACACACACACACACGAAAAAAAATTCACATTGAGTTTATAGTACACGTAATCTTTTATTGCATTAATAAAACATTGGGAGGGGTTGAGTTTTCCTTTAAGAGACAACATTTTCAGAGACAAATTGTATCACAGGGCAGAGAATGTCTGGGTTACAGTTTCAGTCCTAAAAAGAAAGAAAATATATCGCTGCCCAACACAAACTTCACATTCAGGAGATAAGACTAATGTGCCGATAGCTGGCACAAAGACCTGGCGCCCAACCTGGGAGCCACATCTAAAGATCCCATTTGTATAACCTTTCCTTCTTTCACAAAACGCATGTAGCAGGAAACCTCTTATATGGAAAAATTGCTTGCTGACACTTCCTGCAACAGGCACACGGGCGAAGGACAGGCATTAGGAAATTGAATACCAGTGGATAGAATAGATAGACAGTGTTACCTCGGTTTACATCATTTTCGGTTTACAAATTAAACTCTATTGAAAATCTTGCCTTGGTTTACACATTTTTTTCGCAATACAAAGCAAGCTTCCCTGGCGTTGAGCTACCCACAGGCGTTTTTTGCATCGAGTTATGGAGCCATTCTGGTAATTTTTTGCAGCGGTTTTGGGCCTTTTTGGAATTTTTGGGTGCATTTCTCAAGCCGTGGAAAGGTAGGGAGCTGAGCTTCGTCGTTGGCATGCCTTTTATTGTGTGTTCTGCATTGTGGGTTGGTTTCCATGCCAGCTCATTTTAACTTTTTTCTGACCTCCAGAACGGATTAATTGGTTTTCAATGCATTCCTATAGGAAACTACATTTCAGTTTACAAATTTTTCGCACATCCCGGAGAACGCATGAAATTCATAAACTGAGGTACCACTGTATAGCCTCAGGTCAACTCGTCATTCACAATGAAGGATTTTACCTTTACAATATACAAAATAACTATAATTATTAAGAGGTTTAATTATGAAGAAGTAAATGGTGATGGATTTAAAATCATTCATTTGTACAAGGAGTTGAATTTACAAACTTTTCTACTTGATCTATTCATTTACTAAATGATGAATTGTGCAGAAGTTCAATGAAACTGCAATCTTAAAGTAATAAAAAATTAAACCAAAAGTAGTGGGGAAAACGTTCTAACTGTGACAACAATCTACAATTCCCTTGTCAGCTTTCCACAATGGGCATTTTAGTAAATAAGCTGCTGCCAAATGATTCATTTCTATTAAACAAACAAGCTACACATCCATTATATCAAATTGTTTATTGCCAACTGAACAGGTAAAATACAAACTTCGTATATTAGAAAAGATAAATGCTAATCTTTGACATGGTATTTGGCTATTCCAAATTGGCACAAACTACAAGAAGGACTAATAGAGGGAGTTTGTATAATTGTATTAATGTGGGTCTGGGCCATGCCCCTTGCGAATGCTGATATTCCTATACCTCTCCAATGTAGAGGGTATAATTTATAATGGTGTGTGCAGAAAGCATTGATTGGATACTATATACATTTCACGGGAGTCTCCATAAAGAGCTAACGGTAAGACATTCAGGG